AGTAGTAACAAGAAGCTATTAGAAACAAGTGCATCGCTACTAGTAACGAGAAGCTACTATATACAGTATCTTCTATATTGGAATCTTATCGTGACGCACTCAAACGAGCCATGCTGTGTCGGCTCCAAGGACCATCGCCCGGACTGTCGCACATCCTCCTGAGGCCCCTTCCCAGCTCCAGGTGCCGGTGGTACATGCCTTAAGTCATCCAGTGTCATCACACTGACAGCTCCGGACTGTCACAAGAACTTTGGGGGGAGAACCTAATCGAATCAACATGATGACCTAATGATGACCCCTCAAAGCTGTTCAAGCAACAAAGCGAGCACTGGAATGGTTCAACATGATCTCGTCCCTTTCGTGAATCTGTCAAAAAGGGATCTCTAAAGCATCTGGTTCGGAAACGAATTCTTTCCCTTTTGACACGAACACACACACACTACATCGCTACTAGGAAAAAGGGCATCGCTACCAATTAGTAGCGATGCACTTGTAACTAGTAGCTTCTTGTTGCTAGTAGTAAGGCAAAGAGCTACTAGTAGCGTGGCACTTGTTACTAGTAGCGATGCCAGGAGCCCCTAATAGCGTCCTTGCTCCTTGCTGGTTCGCACCACCTCAGATCCTCACAAACGTCACCGGACGGGGCCCATCCGCCTGCTAGCAGCTCAACGGACGAGGCCCATCCGCCAGCCCGACGCAACGCCGAGAGCGCCTCAGCCAATGATGGCCAACTGGATGGCAAACCCCGCGAAGCCATAGCCAAAGAGTTAATGGATCATTGCTACTGGAAGATAGTCTTGTTCTTACAAAAGTGTTGCGAGAGAGGCATTGATTTGGGCAACTCACTCAGATCCTACAACCTACAGTAACAAAATCATTTTGATTTGTTGCTAGTCGGCTGGTGACTAGTAAATAGAAGCCGAGCTGCCTCTTGTGACCTTTGCTTTACATTCGGGTATTTGTCATGATAAAGCTGAAACCAGTCCAAATGTCCTGCACACATGTATATAATGATGTTCCTGTCCTCAGTGTAAACCTGTAGTCATCCAGGGAACAACACTGCAGCACTGTTCATCTCCAAGGAATTGCAGCGCTTTGCTCCAATGATCATCTGCTGAAGCAGCCGCCACAGCATGCAAGCAAGATGCATCAGGCACAACCTGCAAATGGGACAAGCCAGATCATCCCAAAGAAGAAAATTTAATCCAAAAGACAGCGCTCCAGCCAACACACTGTTCAAATGAGTCCATCTTCACCACCAAAACACTGCACACACGTTCATCGTAAGGAAACCTCATCCTCCAAGACCTCCTCAACCATCTTTGACCCCAATTCGAATGGAAGTAGTAAAGGTCTCATTTGATAGTTGATATTGTCACAGTACCACTATAGACCCTGTGGATTACTACTGGACCTGCTCGACTGATGCATCAATGGGCCGTTCTATCAAATGTGCCCATACACCGAAACAAATGATCTCTGGACAACTTATACTGTATACCGTATACCTCTTTGTGGTTGCTGATTGAAAGTTTCCTTGATTCAGTTGCATCAAACAGTACTCAGTATGCGTGTGTGCTATGGCTATGTAACTATGTACAATACAAGGGTGTGGATCACAATCGGCCTGCTCATGTTGGTGCGGTCTAGCCAAAACCCCATGCTATCGGCTACAATGAATCCATTAGGACCTGATCACCTGACATGACATTGGCACCAGCTGGGAGCTGGGACCTATCTCAACAGGTTGTGAAAGGTCCTTTGGCTGTTTCTAGGCCGTCCGGTCCAAAATGAAGACCCTTGTGACCTTGCGGGATCCTCCATTCTCACGCCCAACAAAAAGGTGCCTGACGGACTGCACTCACTACTGACTCACTCTCACCCTTGTGAAAGCTCCCTTCCCTGATCCTCCAGGCCACTCTCTGACATCCCATCCACTCAAAAAGCTCCGTGCTCCATCGCCAATGCTGGGCCTGTCGGCCTGAGGCTTCGGCTCCACGCCGACAGAAACCGACCGTTGGGACGTTGGAACTCTCCGATCGCCTCCGTCGCAAGGTCAACTGCGACATATCTGAGAGACTAGCCCGACCAGCCGACATCAGAAACATATCAAGAATGGTTTGCTGAATGGCTACACTCCCGGCTGCCACCAGGCCTTCTACAAGCTTTGGGGTGATCGTTGATGCTCAGTATGGTTGAAACATGCTTGATGTGTATGAGGATGACAACCTCTCAGGGTTTACTGCGTATACTATACTTGAGATGTTCTGTATAAAGGGATTTGCGGCTAAATGGCTAATATATATATATATATATACCTTGTGCCTCCAAACACGACAAAAACGTAGGGTTCATCCCAAAACACGAGGTTCTTGGAGAAAACACGAGGTTTCCCATTTTTGTGTTTTTTTCCGCCCATGCCATCTTCGAAGGCCGGGCCACAGGAACTTGAATTCAAACTCAAAAAGCCCAGGTTGATGATCAGAACGAAAAAAATCTCAACCAAAAATGCAACTATTGTACCCCCTAAAACCCGTGAAAAAAACACGGGTTGTCACGGTATAATCACGGGTTTGTCACGGGTTTGGGAAACATGATGTTTTTCTGAAAACCCGAGGTTTTTCATCCAAAATCACGGGTTGACACGGGATAATCACGGGTTTGACACGGGTTTGTCACGGGTTATCGGAGCTCTCAATAACGGACCCGAACTTTTCCTGACAAGAGTGTTGAATGTTTTTAACATATTGTGAAACATGTTTTGACCACGGAAAATTTGATAAGTCGGCGGGAGAAAATGCATATGGAGCACCTGCACATGGCTATCGAGGGTTTTGAGGCAAAACACGAGGATTTGGTTAAAAACCCGAGGTTTTCCCTTATGTCACGGCTAAACCCGAGGTTTGTTTTCAAACCCGACAAATTTGTAGGGTTCAGATGCTCAGGGTATATATGTATAAGTTGCAAGGATGGAGATGCAAAGTAGCCGATTCACTGGTCAGTCACGCTGAATCCCTCTACCATTCTAACACACCTGAAGGGTGGGAAATGGCGATAGAGCCAGACACGATTTCGTTGGATGTTGGGTATGGAACGTAACAGTTTCAAAATCCAACACCGAAGGAGTGCTGGGTAGCTTGTACCCAGGTACACACGACCATCGCCGAGCAAAGGCTGATGGTATCCGGAAATGCCAAAAGTGCCAGAGCCAAGGGCCACTCCCTGCAGTGGCAAAGCAGGGATCAAACAACTAAGAGAACCAAGCAAATTGTGATCAAATCTTGACTTCACTCACTAGTCTTGGGAGTTAAAAAGAAACCATGTGTTCCAAAAATGTTCACAAAATTTATCAACTAGCTTCTTCTTCCCATATATTAAATATGTGTTTGATGACTCCGTAATCACAGTGAAGTGATCAACCCAGTTCACAAGTAAAGCGACTCTGTGTTGATCCAATAAACAAGCTAAATATGTGGGTGGCCTAGTGCATCTTCAAAATTGTTTGCTGGTAGGGTTGCCTCAGGTGGGGTCCACTTCACTGGCTACATTGTAAGCTCTGCTGGCAACAGCTTCACATGCTTCACCTGATCCTTATCAAGTTGATTTCGATGGCGTTGGTTCCTGGTGTGGATGAAGCCTCGTCGGACTGCTAGAGTTCATTTCATGAATCGATGCTCATCCCTCCCAAACTTGAGATCAAATAATTCCACAAGAAGTCGAACCGTTCGAATCCAAATTTGCTCTCCCCAAACCGCCGTCATATTTGGGGCCAACATCATATGATGCTGCATGGATCGTGACCTTCAAAGGGCTGATAGACCTTCACCACTACCTTCACCATCTCCTGACCGAAACAAAACTCAGGGCGCCTGAGTTTTAAGGCATGGATGGCCACTGTGAAGCTCCGCGCAGTCCCCGTGAGGCCTGAGGCGCGGTCCCATCCGATGTGACGGATCGAAAGGATCTGGGTGGATCCAAAAGCACGCACATGGCATGTGTTTTTTGGTTTTTGAACCGCACGATGGCATGCAAAGTGATTGCAGAACTCGGGTCGAGTCTTGGGAGGTTTCATACCTCCACGTTTTGAGTCCGAGCCCGATACAAGTTTGATCAGACTTGGCAATAAGGACTCTGGAATGAAAGCAGGTCAAGAAGTCCTTTAGCTCACTTCTCTAAGCACGGATGTCCTCAAGCCATGGAACCTTCTGGCCGTGAGCCCCTTGGTCCGGCTTATCTTCCTCGCCGAGGCTCGCTGGGACGGCATCATTGCCAGCAGGTTCACTGTGACGGGCCAAAGGTTGCACTTGGCCGTGCTCGTCATCACCGTGTTCGCGCTGACGACATCGCGAAGGCAACGGACATCATGAGAACCTCGCACGGTCTGTGGGATGGGAACCCACAATATGGCCTATACAGGTTTGTGAGCTGTTATCACTGCCAACGCCATTCTGGGGGACAGGAGTCTGGAAGCACCAAGGCAGGTGAATAGGGAAGGAATGACAGCATCTCCCGCTGTCGAGGGCAAAAACAATCAATTGACTGTGACATGAAGAGGGCATTCACATGCATTCACTATTCTTCGATGAACAGCAAGAATGGTTTCGACATTTCCGGAAACGCAATGATTATCTCGGTTCATACTACATGTCACCGGTTGATTGATGCAAATAGTGTAACATCTTTAGCGGCACTTTGGCATCCAAATTCACAGGTGTTACTATATAACTACCAGGTGGTGAAGTTTCTCTGCATCTTTGAATATTGTTTCGTGACCGGATTGATCACCAGCTTGTACTCTTTCCAAACTTAGTGTTCGATGCTGCCAAGAATCAAAAAACCTTCAGGGCATTCGACCATTGGGTAGCTTTGGCGCATGCCTGGAGTACCAGGTTTAAGCCTGAGAGCACAGTGGGCTTGCATTACCATAACAAACCGACTGCTGTGACATCAACGCAACTGCAAATTCCAATGCAGAAAGGACACCAACAACATCAATTCTGCAAGCTCAAAAGGACTCGGTCTCACATGGTCTCACATATCTAATAACAGAACGTATATTTGCACGGAACAAAAACTTCTGATCCTCCTCTGTCTTGGTTGTTGGAGGCTGTTGTCAACATGTTTTTCCCCTTCTGCACACCCTGTTGGTGCACTACTGGTTTGTCGCGGATACTGCCACCTTGTGCCACCCAGGTGCCATAAGAATTAACGCTGCTAGCGAGAAAAATCTGTAAGGCAGCTTGCCACTCCGCTGATTCAGCACAAGTCCTCAAAGCCTGGCTGGGCCGACGACATCTCCAGCGGCCCTGGCTTTGTCAGACCTCCCTGCCTCTATGATCTGGACGTCTCCCAAACATCCCGATGGCCGAGTCTATAACTATCAAATAATACAGATTCAAAGCGGAACAAAGAAGATTGTAAAATTAATAAGGGTGCATTGAACAAGGCACCCTGTAAAAGGGGTCTTATTACGTCTAGGAACCCTTTTCCTTCTCACGGTGTTTCCTTTTCAGTTTTTTGCTTCTCCAGCGCATTCCACCAGGCTGACCTGTACAGCCTCTGCCGCCATTGCTGGCTACTGGCAGCAAGCCACACCTCATGTGAAAAGAACTTTACCGATTCACAGTGGAAAGGAACTTTGCAACATAGCATTTCAACAACACCTCTTGATCTGTGCAACAAAATAACACACCAGTAGTGTGTTCTTCAGGTTTTGGCATCCCAACATGCAAATGTGCAACAAGACACGCGTTGTCAACGCCATCCGGCCTCTCTGCAAATCGACTTCTCTACTTTTGCAACCAAAACATGGCAGCTGGGGACTGGACCGTAACAGCGTCCCTGGCAATCTCCATGCTGTCTCAGATGGTCTCAGCTGCCCACGAAGCCTCGACGAGCGGAGCCCCAAGTGGCAAAGCTTTCTTGTTATCAATGTAACAGTTGTCAATGTCCTACTGGAGTACTTTGGAGCAGTTAAGCAGTCTCTTTGTCGAATCCCCCATGGAGTACTCATCAGCCAGCCTTAATAGGCTGGTGGCCAGGGTGGTCTGCATCAGCATCCAGCACCCACGGCAGGAGATCAATGAGCAAAGCCGTATGCAAAGTGCACAGTACGATGTGAGGAAATGATTTATCAAACTGAAAACAGTATGTCATACAGAACTCATTCAGACTGATTGGTGTAAAGACATGTTGACCTTCAAGGACGCGCCGTGCCAACACACATGTTCCTATCCCTGACTGCCTGAGAAATCATGACCAAACATAGTGACATGGTGCGGAATCTCTGTCTGCGTCTGGACGCTAGACGCTAGTGCATTGAACACTTCCTTTTTCGTTGGTCCAAAGCCAATGGCTCAAACTCCTCCCTAAAGATTGAGACATTTTGTGCAGTAATCACTTCATGAGAGCATCCATGTTCCACATGTGGCCAGCCACGCATCTTGCCGCTATCTCATGTCCGTTCGGAAGAAAAGGAATATTGACCACTGCCAAATCTCAATGTAAACTTATGGGATGGATGAGTATGAGGTCAATTCATATACAGTAGAAGAGCGGTCAACATGTAACTTGGTGGAAAACAATCTTCATAACCATGTCTTTTGCGGCACGCAGCAGGCAGGCACGCTCGCAAGCAGCCACAACGGCGCTAAAGCCTCGCATTGAAGTCCGAACAAATCTGAACACTTTGTATCACTTTGTGACCCGAATGCAATGGCACCACTGGATAATTATGGATGCTTATTGTCATAGTGTATTTAATTGTGCGATATGTTCGCAGCTGAGTGAAAAGGATCAACATTGAAAGCTCCTTCATGTGGCATTGGTTGTGGAAATGTACCTCCTGAATCATGTTTGGTTGAATGGATCGCCAAAGCGACTTCCGGTGACATCCAAAAGGAAACACTCCCTAATTCCCAGCATACATTCTGATGGTGAATCTGAAGTTTCTTCACCCAAAAGGATGCCTCGACAAGTCAACAACATCATGTTTGTTTACACGGAACAAGCTATGGGCCCTCTGATTTCCACATCAAGCATGGAATAGGTGGATTGTTTCAGGGCAAATCGAGACCTGATGAGACTTCGCTTTAGCAGCTTTAGCAAGTAGAATTGTTCAGCTGAGAAATCATCTGCATAGTAAGCTTACTTTCGGTCAAATGAGTGCCGTGGTTTCAGCCACCTACCAAAGGATCTGAGTTCACAAAATGCTATTTCCCGCATGCCGAAACGCAGGCTGCGTAGACTTCCAGTAAACGGGTCAGTTCGGCATGCTGTATCCAAACAAGACAACTGGGACAACGCTACTAGTAACTAGTAGCAAGAAGCTAGTGGGTTGGAGGCCGGCGGCCATCGCTAGTAGGTTGGAGGCCATCGCTACTAGTAACAAGAAGCTATGAGTAGTAATGACAAATACTGTAATATATTGTAATGAAGGAGTGGAGGAGAGCCTTGTTCGAACACAAGATTCTTGGTAGCGTTTCAAGAGGTTCTTTCAATGCTGGAACAAAGGTGCTTCAATGTGCAAGAGCTTTGAGTCTTGAGCCGTGTGCGTCGAAGTCGTTGGTTGAAAAGAGTTTGACAACGAAAAAATTAGACGAGGGTCCTCGGTATATCTCAGTTCTAGCTGTTCAGAGAAACTCCCATTCCCAATCCAATCGTTTCCAGCATTCCAGGGCACTATGTTCATTGGCAGCCAGTCGTTCTTGTGGCATAGCCTCCTTGGTGAAGGCTTCTCACAAATCAAAGAGATGCTTGGAACTCAAGTTCTTTGCGGTGCATGGACTGAGTTGGTCTCCTGCACAGCGGCCAAAGTGGGTTTCCTCTGACATTTTGTGGTCAGCCGTTCCACTCATCCAGGAAGCAATACAAAGGATCATAAAATATACTATACCAGTACGACGCATCTTTTGTAAACTCACCACTCTACATCCACACGGATTCCTTTGGAGTTGTCCAACAGGAGGCCTATGGAGGCCTGGATAGAAGTGGTGTCGAGGCCTGGCTCGACCAATAAGAGAGGCTTCAATCAACCACCACGAGACTATAGGATGGCTGACTCCCCAACGTGCGTTGCATAACTACAAGAGACCGTGGTGGTGCCAATTGCCAATTCAATAAATTGCAACTATCTATCTATTGTCTAGCCGTGCGATGCTGTGCGCCCTCTACTCTGAGTTTGTGCCAGGACAAGCCATGCTCAAAAGCATCTATGAATCTATATACAGTCTATCTATATAATTATATATATATATATACATGTATTCCTGGCAATCAGGGTAAAGAGATGTAAAGAGACCAAAATGCATCCTTGTAAAACTGTTTCAGAAACTTCTTCTTAGGTGACAATTCCTTAGAGTGGCCAACCCCCCCAAGTTCCATCCCGTAGCAACTCTATTGACTCTGCTCTGCTCCATTAAACCCACTTAGGACACATCTCGCTCGTTTGCTTCTCACCCAACTGTTCCCGTTGTCTTACGTCCCGTTGTCTTTACGTCCAAGCGAGCGACCAAGCTCCAAAGAGCCTGGGCCCAGGCGCTCACCGCGCTCAGCGCCGCCAGGCAACTTGTGGCTGCTACCAGGTCACTGGTCCTGGCTGGGTTGAGACGAAGAAGTCAAGTCGAACATTGATGATGCCAAAATACTTTAAGGAACCTAACAGTGATGGCCTCCAACCTATTAGCGATGGCCTCCAGCCTACTAGCGATGGCCTCCAACCTGTAGCGATGGCCTCCAACCTACTAGCAATGGTGCCAACACGAAAGTGTTTTGTGCTTGTGTTGTCGTGTTGCTTCTTTTCCAAACCTCCGTGCTCTCCATGTCAGTACTTGTGATTTCCCCAAGTTCCCCAAACCAAAGAAGTAGAAGTGCAGCAGTGAACCAATAGAGTTGATAAAGCAAGAAATACCTGACAAACGGAAGAGTTGCGCTGGACATGGATGACACAATAGAAATTATGTGCACGGAAAACGTCACCTGTCACCGAGCGGAACACACCCAGACAGCACTCGTCGCGAGTTGCAGCGGTGATCTCCCCGTTGCAGCGGTGAGCTGTCCTAGAAGTCTGCAGCCTCTGCAGCAATGACACAGCCGTCTTCCAGTGGTACCTGGAAATCGGCAAACACACCTGCACGAAGGATGTGGACTGCACGAATGATGCGAAACATACCTTTTCGAGAAGGATTGGCTGCAAAGCCACCCAGTCTAGGATGATGCCTTCACGTAGGAGCAATCAATTCCAAATAAAGAACAAGAACATACAAGAACCCTTCAGTCTCTATGTTGAATCATCCATTCTCGCACCCATTCCCTCTGATCCTGAATGATTTTTTAGTCTAGTTTCCAGCTTTTGGGTTGTGATCACTTCCTTCATAACCAACTTTCTCTGTGAGGAAAATCAGGCCCACGAGTTGGCGCAAGCTGTGATGGCTGAGCTGAAGCTGAAGGGCTCCGCTGGCTCCGCCTGTTTCGTCCGTCGGCTTCGAAGCCATCGCGGCCGGAACAGGGGTGACTGGGGTGACTCGATTCGGTGCGAACCCGATTCGGTGGTTTCGATAGCGAACGGAAGACAAGTGGATGAGATTAGCTATTGTCATGTCCAAAATCGCTTCCTAGCCTGAATCTTTGGAAGAAGCAGCTTAAGCACATGTTTTTCATTGGCCTAAGCCAAACATATTATCTGGAGTTTACACAACACACGACATTTCATGTCTGACTTAAGAGCTCGCAACATGATGTCACAAAAGGATCTAGCTGGCAAACTGGAATTAGAAAGTAGCCTCGGATAGTTACCTGGATGTGTCGAATCATATAATCTAACGCCAAACTGTGTCAAACCGCTAAGCCTCTGTCCCTTGTCACAGCCCCAGGGCATAATATACAGTGCGTTGGCATTGTGTTTCGAGGGCAATCCCACCTGCGGCAAGCCCGAAAGCAATTCGCAGGCCAGTGTCCATTCTCCATCTTGCGCACAAGCATCAATGGCCTCAATGTCTGCAAGTGGCGGCAACGCCACGGGCATGAGGGACCAAAGCTCAATTGCTTCTCGCAACTTCTGTCACATTGTTCAAGGCATTTATGGATGAACAAAAAGGAACTCCTACCCTTCGTTGGCCTCCGATGAAATCATCAAACAACCCATACGCAAAAGGATACAAGAAGGGTTGCATAGATTCTTAGGTGACTGTGCTAAGTGCTTTGGAACAGGTGTGCAAAACATTGCCCTTCTTGGCAGCCCCACAAACTTGTCTGCTTCGTGTTCCGAATTCCAAGAGGCCCACAAAGCATCAGGGTACTTACTTTGCTACTGTTGACAAGTTCCTCAGATGCACCAAGAAACTTCTGATTAATTTCCAAAGCCGTTGGTCATCATGACCTCCGAACTTGTGGCTCCCGACATGCCCTGACTTCTTTCCCTTCCCAAAAATGCAATGACTCTTGATTGACTTAAGACAACATTTGGAGTGTTGTACAACCATGCAAAACCTCTATATATACCGGGGATTTATTCAACAAAAGTCTACATGATATACAAATTCAACCAAATTGATATATAATATTATATATATATCTTATTGTATATTTATATACTTATACCATCACATTCCGCACGCGACTGCTCGCCGGAGTTGCTGAGGCCACTCCCACGGCGTCGCGACCGGTGCCCAGCGCCCGGCGCCAGGCGTGCCCAGCGGCAGCAGCGTTGAGGCCTCCAAACGCATCGCCGGAGCGCTGCGCTGGGGGATCAGCGTTCCAAAAAAATGCTCAGGACTTATATAATGTGACCTGAAGGGCATCCCTGGTGGCTAGCGTTAGGCTACGTATGGCTAGGTGAGTTCATGGAGATGAATGTTGCTGGAAAGCTGGTGTACAATTTACGTTGGAGGTTTCACACAAGGCTTGAGTGCAAGCTTCCAAAATGTTGTATTCAGTATATATGTCAGTGCAAAGTGAACCCCATATTTTGTAAACTGATCTGAAAGACCATTACAGTTGTCTGCTCTAGCAACTACACAGCTATTCCGAATTCCCCGAAGAACATGCTTATCCAAACAACCTTGCCCCATCCTTCTCTTTGTCATGGCACAAATCATGTTCGGCTCCAGTTGAACTGACACCATCTGCTCCAGCACAAGCACAGCCGGCTCCCAAACACCTGGGCAAAAATCAATGGACATGCCAGCAGTTGAAATGAGTGTATGGCAGTGTGTACGAGCATAGGGAGACCCCCCAATCCATGACATCATTGATGCAGTTTGTTGGCTGAACAGTTTAACACAAATTGACCAACTCGTCACAGGCTGCAGTTTGTCGGCATGGCCGATCAAAGAATCTCTGACCCACTGCTCTCTGAGCTTGTTTCAGGATCTGCATGTACGAGGTACGAGGACCTTCTTTTTTGAAGACATTACTACTATATATATATATATAGTCATAATAACAAACAGAAGCGGAATGGAACGTGGAACAAACACCAGTGCTTGTATGTTTTTGACCCTTCTGCGAGCCGCTTTCTTCCACTGAGGTTTTGGGACATTCTACCACCTTGCAGCACCTCAAGCCCCTGAGGTCAAGCCTTGAGGTCAAGCCCCTGAGGCTTGGTGGTGCCCCTCAGCGCCTTCGCTCAGCGCAGTGCTTCGAGCATTGACGGATCCTTTATGCAGCCCAAGTGCCGGCCATAGAAGAGACCTTCAAGATAGAACCTGCAATCACAGAACTTGCTGAAGTCATCACAATGCTTAGTAGTGTCCTTTGCGCCTGATTTAGCTTTCTGCAGGTGCAAAGCTTTCTTAGGCTAGCTAGCAATCTGGACCTTGTGAGTGAATAGCCCAAAAAGCAATCGAGCTCATCTTCCGACCACCAGCAAGTCAACAACTCCTCAAACAAATTTAAAACTTATTCAACAAAAAACACTCTTCCACCGACAACAGACAGATCAAGCGTTCTCCCTGCGCGCCGTATGTCACCAGATCCGCGTCGAGCTCATGGAGCTTCTCATTTGCCCGACGCCAGGGCAGGCTTCCAAGAGCCACGTTTGTCGCCATCCTTGGTGTGTTGAGTGGCTTTTTCAGACCAGGTGAGATGAAACAGGTCGGACAACATAGTGGTTGCAGGGTGTTTGGTATGAACGGTTACAGTATAGACATGGATGATCATAGATGAGTATGCAGTACGTAAAACCTAAGAGTGCTGGTTTGTGAACGGCATGGATAGGGTCAACTATACGAGTCATAGAGCATTCACGAGTATTCCAGCATGGAACTAACTCACCGACTCACCCAGCACAAGCTTCAAATCCAGTTCGGACCGGCATCGAAGGCACTCCTGCAGTGAAGGCCATATATTAAGAAAACTGGAAACTTTGTATGTTGCGAGCTTTAGTCAATCTGTGATCGAAATTGTCTCTTGCTGTTGTGACCACTTGCATGTTTCTACATGTTAGGGTGCATTTGACTGCATGTCGATCTTCCGTCAACACCTTTGGCACGCTGCTTCAGCCGCCGAACTAAGAAACTCTAAACAGTGCTAGTTTGAGGAGATACATGAAGATATTATATAACGTGTAAACAATCGTAAACTGCCACAGCTCGTCTCCATTTCAACAGACGCCGCAGGGGCAACCCCTTGATTCATTTTGGCAGGCAACGCTCCTGTAACGTTGAAAGAACCAGCTGCCACTGCTCACCCCCACTGAAGGCGCTTAACCTCAGACCTCAGGTGGTCGAAATCATCAAAGTTCAGATTTGTTCGGACCGAGTCTAAGACCATATTATGGATATGATGTGATGGTAGACCTCATTATCATATGACATATCTTTGGAATCTATCCGACTCTCCATCATATTCATGACATCAAAATCTCGTTGGCGTGGTTCCACACCGATCGCGACGATGGCGATGAACTCAAGACGCGATTCGTTCAACAAATAAGGGGCGATGAACTCACACAGGCTGCAGGCTCATTGGAAAAGACCAACGTTTCCCCATGAACTCCCCACAGCCTACTACCTCCCAAATACTTCTGCCCAGAGGCTGGGAGGGACGTGTGCCTGGCAGTTGGCAAAAAGTGAGGTCAAAGAATGCACCTCTGTGAACATGTACAGGTGAAATGGGAGTTCATGGGCAATCAACATTCACAATCTGCTGGGTCGATCTATTATCTTGTAGGTATTGCCTCTCATCTCGAGATGTTGGCAATCAGCAAATGGCTTTCAAAACAGCATCAATAAAGTCTATAGGGACTCAACAAGTTTGTTCTGGGCCCTGTCCTTAGATTGTCGTCTGAAGGCCGATACACATGTACAAAAGGGACAGAACTATATACATTTGGCATCAAGGCCCATGTGATTATCGTAGTTAGACAACTAAGTTTTACTGCACTGAGTACATGCTTCAGGAGGAATAAAGTTTGGTAGTAACTTCAATTGAGAATGTCATTGCTCTTTCACAATGAATTCCGGCGGATTAATCTCCACCCCGAACTATATAACTTACAATAATTACTATAGATTTACTTGGGTAAATTCATCCTCCGTCATTCCCCTGTGATCCCCTGTAGGATTCTAAAGGGAACGGGTTGTGGTTTATGTACTCACAAGCTGGCTGTGTATACAGTATATATATAATATGATTATATAATGTCCAAGTGGTACAGCAGCCAGCACAGAAAGCATGGTATAGGTATGTATAGTTTTGAATCTTGAATGGTTTCCAACACCTCGCAGTGATTCCTTTGGATCATCTCCCACACCTGGCTGGCTCACCGCCCAGGGAGGGGCTCCGCTTGGGGCAGAACATGACCCAGTCGTTTAGGTCGTTTAGGTCAATGGCAGTCATTACACATGGTACACTGATGAAGCTTCAAGAATGAACAATGTTCTTAGGGAGGTTTCCAGTTTTGGAGCATTGCGTATTCCCTCGTGGCCACTGACCGGAGGCTTGGCCAGGGTGGGCTCATGGCCCTTGGACGAAGCAATGAGGGAACGATCAGCTAAGGCTAAGGCCCCGTGAGGGAAACACTTCCGTGCAGCGCGCAATCGCCTTTCTTGGATGCAACTATTGGTCAGTGCTGCACTTGGCAGCAGGCTAATCTCGCAATTCAATTGTTCAAGACGAATGGCGGGTGCCATCAAAACTGATCGCCAACGGCTGTCCACTGATTTAACAGTGGTCAAAATATGCAGTCGCCAAACAGGCAGTTTATCAACAAGAGCCATGGGATTGTTTGAGTGAGGCAGGGGGGCGACTACCCAGCTTGGGGCTGTGGACCAATGAGGCTTTGTGAGGCTGGATAGGTAGTCTCCCCTGTCCCTCCCAAAGTCACCCCATGAATAAGGGTTCCGCACTTAAGGGACCCACTTGAGCAACACACAGAATCTGACAAGCAAAATATGCACCCACAGTGGCACATTCGGGCGATGTCAGGGTCCAACAAGTGATGATCCCTCAATAAGGTGGCCAATGGGTGGCCGTTTCAAACGGCAACTGGCCTCAGTAAAGTAACGTTAAAATCACGGGTCGTTCATTGAGGAGCCAAAGGCATCAAAGGCCGGCATAGGTCCATCATGATCCATCCAACAGTTCCATTCCAAGTGATCAAACAAAAGCACAGGACTCGATGAAACCCTCACATGAAACCAACCCGCTACTCATCTTCGTATGGCATCTCATTGGGCATGAGCTGCCGGTATGGCGGTCGCAGAAGCCGGTTCTCCGGTTCATCTGCGGCCAGCTCAGCTGCAGTGACTTCAGACTTCAACCTCAGTGGGATCGTGTCCTGACCTTTTAGAAGGCGAAACATGGCGAAACCATATTTATGAGGCCGACAAAAGAAGGACAAAAGAGATAAAACACTCAGTGAAATCAGCAATCATCGCCACCATCTACGTGTCAGCATCCTCCCAGCCACTCACCCCCATTCAGCCAATCACCTCTGTCCCTTCCCGCGAGCAACGAGTCGAAACCACTCAGCGGCATGGGAGCTGTTCCCCTCAAGGGACCAGTGCCAAAACGCTTGTCCTCACAGAGGAAGGGAAGCTTCCCGACAAAAAGGGCACCAACAAAAGACCCGCCTGCCATGCTGCTGAAGGCAAGTTTAGCCACAAACCGTCCTTCATCTGTCCACTCATTTGGTGTCTCCGAACGGTTTCAACCCTCTGTTCAAACGTTCAGCCTCCCATGTCACCGAACAGGCAAGCAATGACGAGTGCGTCACCGCGTATCACGTGTCCTCCTTGCCAGGAGAGACATCCTCTTCACCCAGGGCGGCCTGTGCAGGGGCGGAATCGAAACCGGGGCGGCCCAAAATACCGATGGAAGGAACATGCGCACACACCTGGCACTATCAGGAACACTCAAAACCGATGCATTGATATACACACCGTGTATTTAGTACGTGCATTTAGTATTGTAGGTGATGTAGGATGTCTTCCATCAACAACAGTAACCTGAACCCACACTGCCTTCATCTTCCTTGATTGTTTGTCCTATTGGTAAACGGAAAAACTCGCCACCAGGAAATTACAAGGGCTGTTTTATGCTGTGGTAGGATTCCCATTTTGTTTCATCAGTTCACTTTCTTCGCAATCGTCTTGCGGCGGCCGGGCCGGCGGGGCACGAATTTCGTGCCTTGGCGTCCTTTATGCTGTTCCCCTCCACACCCGCTTCGTCGGTGTTGGGGATGCGGATGGGGCTTTGTCTCATTCGCTCGCCCGTGGAAAAGTTGTGGTAGTACTTCCTCAAAGGATGGCAGGCTAAAGCTCATCTCAATGCCCCTGCGCAGATTATATAACTATATATATATCTTTCCTTGGGGAAAGGGGACCAAAACTGCTATCAAGCATCGAGATGCATTCACATCCATACTGTGATTTGAGCAAACATCCCACATGCCGATCCCTGGATTGAGACTGTGGAGCTGGCATGTTGGTGTGCTCCTTTTGCACCAAGCTAGTGTTGACTTGTCGGACGTGCAATGGCTACAGCAACCACACCACCAATATCCACCAATTGTTTGTTCCATCAGCTTCCAGGGCCTCCAGGAAAACTGAGGCTGGTTCGTTGATACTTGAGTAATTGACAGTTAGCCCACGCCTGCTTGCACCATGGCCTTTCTGCCAAGTCGCACTCCCCGAGCATCATAGAACGGATGCCAATCGGTGCTTAGCACTGACTCGTAGGCACTGTCGTCCAAAACGGGAAGGTCTTCCTAGCAGCTTCAATCTCTCCCCATCGAAGCTTATCTTTAAAACTTGTACTGAGAGTACATTCCCGAGTGACTTCCAAATGTGATACATAAAAGCCGCAAGCCTTGATCTTCTCCGGGGCTTCTATCTAAGAACCATTTGCCGCATAGTTGTCACTGTTGCTTCATATTTCATTCCCCATAGGTTCGCTGGGTTTGTCGCGCGGCAACAAGTGCCACAGGGCAAGACTCTTAACGCGGCGGTGAATCTGTCTGCTATGAAGCACGTCTTCTGCCAAAACAGTGGGCTTGGATGGATTTTGGCAGATTTCCAGAGGGTCTAGGTCTAGATCAGTCTCTTATGGGCATACCTTGAGGCCCCCATATAGTAATTTTCTATGGATGCTTTTCATCCTCACTCACAAGTCAACTGCTCAACTCAAACCATCAGCTCACCGTCACATCTTTCGTTTCCAGGACCGTTGCTCGAGACAAAACCAACAAAAACTGTGGTCGGTGGGCTACCGCAGTGTGTCCTCTGTTGCTTAATTGTGTGCTCAATGGTTTTAGTTATAATATGTTTTAATGCATCCTTGCGTCTGGTAGAACTTTGCTCGATTCAACTCTCTGCTTTGCCATAGCGGCATATCCTGGGCCAACACTCTTCACGTACATGAGGACAACCAAAGGGAAGCCAGCTCTACAGACTCCGCAGTGACCCTTGGAACATGATTGTCCGCAACATGGGAATGGAAATCTTCAGCATAATGTAGATTTTGTCCCGAATCTTTTGGGTAGATCCTGGCATTGCACATATATCAAGCTGTCCAAGAGACTGTTGTACTGTTCCACATAGTTGATGCGCCTGGGTTGGTTTTCCTTGCCATCTCTGGGTAGCATCTTGATGTGCTTCATTGCGTAGCACTTGTGACCTGCAGCTTTGAACGCACTATGCAGAACAGGCCAGTAGATAAATCCATTCACATGTGCATATATTGTCAACAGGAAATCTGACTTTATGTGTGACATCCCAGTAAAAGCATGATTCACCTGGCAGCGACTCTATGTAGTTTGAACAAAAACAAATCAACAACACGTTCAAAAGCAGGACAACCACACCTCTGGCACCGTTTATGGGAAACTCTGGCTTGACCAATGTCTTTTCATGACCGGCGATTTGGAGACGTTCACGTCCCCCCCTCGGATGGAATACGCCACCAAAGGGCACAGCGACTTGTCCGTGAAGGTGCAATGGATCTTCGCCTGGGAATCATATTGCGACCTAAAAGAGGGTATCTATATAAAAGGGCATGTCAAGAAACATGTATTGTGGCCTACGTAGCGAGTCTATTTGGGATCACAACAACTTTTCGAGGCACGTGTCCTTATCAGCGTTCAAATTGTTACGAGCAACATAGGTTTCACTGTTCAAGAGGTCCTTGTGTCACATCAAACTTCTTCAACAGTGCCGTCTTGTTTGCCTGAATTGTTGGTATCTAAACTGCTCGCATCAGCTCCATCAATAAGGGAGGTCAAGTGGCTCTGTGTGCGGCCAAGGAACGGGCAGGACCACACAAAGCGCACAGGGGACCAAGCAGAAGGGTGCATGAGACTTGCGGAAGCCCTTACTGTGCAGGTCACTGTAGCACTTCAAGCACAGGTAGTCCTGCGGGTTCGTGCTGCCCTCAATCTTGGAAGATGAAGTATTCAATCAATATCCCTGAAACATAGAGGTCTCAAACAATAGACGTGATGTCACACATCGATGTTAAACTGTTGAACTGTCCCATCATTCTGAACGATGTAATGTGAATTTCCAGGCATCTCAAATGGACTCAGGGCTAGTTGGGGGTTGCTGCCATTGAAGTCCATGGCCGCTCAAAAGCCCACAGCACTCGATGCACAACATCGGAGAGATACTGCAATCAGCAAGCTGGAGGAAAAATATCTCTGTCCAGCTGGAGTCATCAGTTCTTCATTGAAACAAGAAACAGTGAGGAAGAAACTAAGGTTTCCAGTTTCCAACCTTTTGAACTGTGTGGGATGAGTTTGTGATCACCGTCCTTGCATTCCAAGCAAAAGCTAAGTGCTGTTGCTTCGCAATTCACGCAGTTCACCTCTCCTGTTCGCCGGAGGAGGCTGAATATGCTGCGAGGTCGACGCAGCTTGACGGCACTTAAGCAACTGTCTGCTCAAACAAGAATGTTGCAACAACCCCCCAAAAAAGAGTCCCTGAATGCAACGGACCTTCACCCTGAAATTTTTCACACTGAGGAAGGTGTAACGAGTGGTTGTAGTTGAGGCAAACCCTGAACAGTGCACATGCGCCTCGAGATAGCAAGTTGAGATTAAACTTAACTTCTTCCTTCACGGCTCCTGGCGAAAAGCAGTGATTCGTTGCGATCTATAGCAATGCTCTGGAAGTACAGCTCATATGTGGTATCCGGGATGCAACACAAACAGGTACACAGCATGTTGCTTGACCCGGTCAAAACATGCAACAGCAAAGCAAAGCAAACAAGCGTTTTTGTTGATTCAAGTTAGAAGAAGGAAAACAAGTATACTAAGACGATATACTGAGTACACAGTTCAAACAACTGGAAAAGCTTCATCTTCTTGATGTTCATTGGTTGCATGTTCAAGCAGGCCTGACCAATGTAGCACCATCTCTTCGTACTTCTCCAAATCGCGTTGGAGCATTTCATTGCATTCGCGAATTAAGTTGATGTCCACATCCTGAAGTTGGGTAAGCTCGCGAATTGAGTGCAAGTGCTACAGAAATTGTTGCCTTTTGAATCCTTTGTAAACCTGCAAGCCTCCTGGAGTGATATGCAAACATGTCCAGCTCACAGCGATCGCTCCTGAGTGCGGCGGTACTCTTTGGCAAAGGCCTTCAGCTGGGCCTTGCAGTTCCGCACCACACAGCCTGGTGCCAGCCGATTGGGCATGTCTCGCAGCCCTTTCGTTCTTAACGTCTATTGATAGGATATATTTGGTTACTGTATCTTGAATCTTGAGTTTGTGCTTTGTCGGCAGTTTGACTTCCCTTTTGGCACACTTTCACCTAGGACCTAGAGTCTTGCCATTCGGAGGAGCACCCCCCACCCCGCGGGATGCCCTCCCTCCGGTCTGACCGGCACCCACATCACGTCAACGCGCGACATGCGCTCCTTGGGTCTTGACATCAAAACCGAAGATCTCGCCCAATCGCGCAACGTACATGGGAGAGATCAAGGGCTCCTGGAAATCATACTGAGACGGGAGAACATCTGGAGCAAAACGGAGCAAACTAAAGATGCAAGAGTGTCTTGTTTCTTCGCAGGTTGCAGTCTTTGAGCCTTTTTTGTGTTGTTACATTTGTTTAGCACATAAAGACAGTGAAGCTCTTCAGAACAAAATCACTGGATTGCTCACGGCAGCAGCATGAGAAATAAACAGAAAGGATCGAAAACGCCAGCATCACTACGACAATCAAAAACAACACTTTGGTTGCTGTGCTATGTTCGCCCATGGGTGACCCGACACACCTGGATTTGCAGGGCAACACGGTCTTGCTGGTCACTATTTCACTCTGCAAGCATTCCCGGTCATGTAGTCTGTCTGATTGCAGCCGGGGGACAAGTTGGTTATAGTTATATATAGAAATTTACAGAGTGCTTGCACATCTGAGGTTCGCAAATTCAGACGTGATCTAATCTTCAGCAAGGAAATGACATTGTGAGACTGTGCAGCCTGCAGGAGGACAACGTCCCTAAGTCCCTAAGAGTCAATCCTACTGGTCCTCAGAAAACAGGCAGTTCCTGAGGGTTCCGCACTAGATTCTTGGCGCGAATCTTTGACCAACACATAGCAAATCATAGCAAAAAGCTGGTAACATCCAGTCTGCATTAATCCTCCGTCCTGGTCGTGCTCTGCCTCTACTCGAGTGGCCTCATAGCCTCAGGTCATGGGGTTCCAGCTTCACATCTCTTTCCCTCACATTTGGGCAAAGTAAGACAAACATGGTCTATATGTTGGCCCATATCTGTGGCAGTTAACACTAGTCATAAAGTATCCAGCCAAGCAAAAGTGAGGCCTTCCAAGCAAAGCCACAAAACAACTAGAAATATGTCTCAGGTTTGAGCTCCCTAAAGCTTGCGGAATCACTCGACAAATCTTCGACCCAGCTGGCCAAGGTACTCCAAAGGAGACGATTGCACCGAACTTGCATCACCTGGCTAGTTCACGATACTCATCCAACAGCCCAGCTCATCTAGACACTCATATAGATGGAAGAACTCGGACCCTCCCAGCCCAGCCTCATCACGGGTGGCTTGGCGACAGAACTCCCGCAGCTGACGGAAGTAGTCGTAGAAAGGATGCTTCCAGGTCACCTGCGGATTCCGAAGAGAAGCCGGGTAATTACTTGGGAATGGCCTCGCCAGCTTCATCGAGTAAGTGAAAAGGCATCGCACCAGAACGATGTATTTGTTTCACCAACAACAGGTTCTATAGTAACTGTGTGATATGTTATATAATATATGATTGATATGTTGGTTTGGGACATTTTGGTAACACATGTAACACCAGCTGTTAAGAAGTGAATCAGGACGATCGAGAGCGGGGTTACGTTGAGATCCTGCCCTGGATGCGCATCCAGAAGCCTGCAGTGACAACCATTGATCTTTGGCATAACAAACATCAGGGACTGAATGGGACTGAGGTTTGGTCACGTGGGCAAAATTGAAGCTAACATGAGCTGTATCATGCACTCAGCCATCGTACCTGGCCAGTGTCTGCTCTCAAATAGCATACGATGCTGCCAATGCCTTTGTAGCCTGAGTCGCAAGTCGAGTTATCAGCGACATGTATTGACCACAAGGTATCACAAAGTCTCATTGACGATGAACTCTTAAATTCCACAGCTTCCCTCACCCTGCTGCCATCCTACCTTACCCAATCTTGCCCAACCCTAGCTACTGGAAACTGTAACCCCTCCAACCTGGAGCTTCACCCACAACGAAAAGTTGCAGTTCCACAATCCCCTGACCAGCAGCTTCACATGCTTTCATGCGGTTTCACCCTTGCACTGAGCAAAGCAAGCATGGCGTGGTCGTCTATTTGCGGCTCCAAGAACATGTCCATGGCTTGGGGAGATCGGTCTCCAACATGGCATTGACCAACCAAAGCATCTCCTGGACAGATTTGTGTTCAAGGATTGAGGGAGCTGTGTGCGGGGGGACGAATCCCGAGTTCCTAGTCCTAAACGCTAGTAATTACAAAGACAATGTGCTTTAATTAGGGTGGCCATTCAGGAATATGGACTTGGGTGATTGGCAGTTAGGGAAGGAATTAGCAGGATCTTGGCATATTGCAGGCTGGATAAGCTTCCCAACTGGGCAAAAGCTCACTGAAACGCTTATTTGTTCCCTGGCACCAGTACTTGAAACAGCTTCTGAAATAAATCCGGCACAACGCACTAGCAAGTCTATTGAAAGGCACCGATCATAGGCATTACATCCAGGTCCATATTCATCACGAATGGACTTGCGGTGTCCACGTCTGCTGACAGCTGGAAAGGCGCCACCCAGCTATATACAGGATCATGCCGAATCATGCTCTTCAAATTATGTTTTGAGGTGGTCAAGTCATCAAATCGAAAGTCTCGAAATCAGCTTCGCATCTTGCTGGTTGAGAAGTTGAGATGTGATTCTTTGACAACATGTCCTTGTCAGATGGCTCTATTCGTAGGTAGTAGGCCTCAGCAGCCAGCTATCAGACTCTAAAGTGAGAGAAGAGTCTGACTCTTCCTGTGGAGTCAAACTCATGCTCATGTGTGCGCTGTTGAACAAGAACTTCTGTGCTGGCCTTTCCACCTTTGACCACCTTCTTTCAGGGTCAACTTGCACGATCCTTCTATTTGTTTGGATTGGTGTGCTTTTACGCGGAATCGAGGCAAGCTCCAGTGATGCTGTCAAGATACCCACTCGTCCAAGGTAGGAACCTGGGTGATTCTGGAAAGAAGTCAGCAAATGGGTTCGCCTTCAATCAACACATGCACACCACTAGCAACCTAGCATATATAGAGCAGAGGGAATCAAAAGCGTCAAAAAATGTTATGTAAATACTGTAGTTATAGTAAGGGGAGCTCATCCACACAACCCACAGAAGCCCAAGCTTGAGCGATTCGGATCCAGCTTGGTGCATGATAACAACATAGTTCAGTAGGAAAAGTAACAGAACTGAGAAATCTTGCCGCTTATGTACATCCATGACACACAACCAAATGACCTCACGATGCATGACGCGTCAATGCTGAAGCACCAGACTCTAAGCTCAAACCAATCAGGCAACTGTGTTGGGATGCCCATGATCCCCGGTCATGGTCAAACAACAAACAACTTCTAAGAAACCTGGCACTGTATATGAGGCCTTTCTGTCCTTTGGCATCCCTCGACCCTGAGGCGAGAAGCGGTTCCATCACACAGCAGCGCTGGAAATTTATCCAGCTTCGCGAGAGCTTGTTGAGTCAAGGGATCGTCGATCCCAAAAAGTACGAAGGGATCTGCATCAAGATACTCCAAGGTCTCCTGCAGTCAAACAATTCGCTCTTGCGGCAGCACATCATCGGGTTTCATAAAAGAACATGCTTATGAATGTGAGCACGTATGCAGTATGTTTGTACAAGGTTCATGTGTTGTTGTTGATGCACGTGAGATTTTATGTTTAAATTTTGTGCTCGCTATTTTTCGTAAACCGTGACGACCACTGTAATCATTATATATATATATATGTATATACACCCTCAAAGTCCCAAAGGCCTCGCTCAGGAGGCCTCGCTTCTCCAGGTGTCCCAGGGCATTCATCCAAAGATCATCAAAGTCTTTGTACCTCAAAGCAACGTTCGCATCGATGCAGTGGCTATGCATGGCGGCAAGGATGCCTGGCGTGTTTTTTTTTCCGCCAAGTCACCAGCCATCACTGAGACTGTCCAGTGGCGGGATTACTTCCTGATCGAAGTGGCAGGAACAAGGGAGATTCTCTGATGAGCTATGGATCTGGGCAGGTCGGCAAGCGTGATGTCAAATTCCAAGCCGCACATGGATGAAAAGCACCTATGGCCACTAGCCCCAACTCGGTGGATCGCATACGACCGGACCGGGCCTTCTCCGCGGTCCAGCTGATCTGGAATTGCGGTCCCACTGGCCAGCCTTCCATATCGGTCCCGCCATAGCCTTGAGACCGGGGAAGTGATGTGAGGATTTGGGCTTTGGGTTGGTGGTTTGTATTTCCAAGGCAATGAGAGGAGTGAGTAGAGAAGAAGTCATGCAAACAACGAAACGATCGAAACATCCTTGCATGTAGGAAAGGTTAGCTGGCTCATGTTGGCTCATGGCTGGTGTAAGGAAAATATGCTTTTGTTTTTGTAAGTTGTTTCATCTTAGATGAGTATTAGGCAGGTCACCCTTAATTATAATACTGATACTCATGTTCCAGAATATCCATATCAATGTTAATTTAGTATTCATCCAAAATGATCCATAATTAGCCCAAATACCCAGTCCAAAGCCACAATTGTAATATTCAGTTGTCAACCCCCCCAAAAAAATGTACACACACATGTGTCAGACATGAACAAACATGAAAGCAGCATGAAAGCAAAACGAAAGCAAATGAACTCCAGGGATTATAATTAAGAATACATTACTTTAAGAACATGTCGAGGGGGTGGGCTGCCACCAAATATGGATCTCACATTATGGCTGGATTGTCTGTGTCACAGTCGCAGTTGGTTTGTTCACCAATCGCAGAGCGTCATGAGCCCACGCTTCCAACGTTCATGTCAGCTAAACTTTGAGTCATTCGCGAGTGCAGGATACCACAACCACAGCAAAGGCTTGGTCCAAAACTGAAAGGGAGATTCACCTCGAAATTGAAGCCTCCGGCCTCCCCGCTATCCTGATGAACTCATCACTGGATATAGAACATAATACTTGGACAAGAGCAAAATGTCTGACAAATATATGGGAACATTGGTTCCTCATCCTCAATCCCGAACCCATCTGAACCAATCTCCAATCAATGAGAACGAAGTGGCGTGTCTCCAAGTACATCGGTTGGCCCTCGTCCTGGAGCCCAGTGGACAGGTTTGAGGTAACTCTCCTTGTTTTCAGAGTTTCCTTTTGCATTATCAATACTATAACTGGGAATGCTGTATTAGACGTGACATGTCAATGTGTTTGGCCATCATGTTAGATGTAAGCACACTTGATAGTTTCAAGTGGCCACCTGTGACTAACTAAGTGCCTGTTTGAAAAGCTTGCGTGTAAATGGTCATGAGCTGAAGCTCGTGTCCTTAGACCTTTGCTTGAAAACATGCTGGCTGGACCGAGTGTGAGAATGAGATCCCTTGTACCCCACAGACCGTGTAAAGCAAGGAGCGGCCAAGGAGCGGTAGCTGCTGCAAAAGTGTGGAGATACGATCGTATGCAAATCATGTGCGATTGTCTGCTTGTTTTTTTTTGCATTGACTTGTTCAGGCATCCTTGAAGGAAAACGACCCAAATCTACGAAGAGCCATGCCAGCTACCTGGTACCAACAATATTACTTTTCTTGTCCCGGAAAGCAGAACATGCAAAACCATTTTATAACAATTATATATCATTTTATGGAAGGGACCCTGTTTGTGGCTGAAGGTCTGCTTGTTCTGGGCAGAGTTCCTATTATCAGCAGCAAATGCAGTAACTTGAATCGAAACGACTTGATCCAACCCTCTCCTTTTCTCAAGCTAAGCAAAACCTTGTGGCATCAGCATCCCTGCAGCAAAAGGTCTAGGATGTAGTACACATATGTACACATATCATATTTTCCTAGAACATCCTAGAACTCTATAGAACTCTACTCTATAGCCTATAGCTATACTAGAATCTGCGGAACATCCTCACCGGTCCAGCAGCATCATGGAGTAGAAGCCAATGGGGATTACTCCCCGTGAGACTCGAAGGTCGGCCCGCTGATGCAAATAGGCATACCTCACTCAGCCCGTCGTCTACGTCGTGTCCCGCGAGACAGCCGGTCGCAGGACGCAACGGGTGATGCCGCGAATTAACAAAGCGAGTGATGCCACCTACAGAAAGCTGACCTCTGAAAGAAGATACGCATAAAATCGGACCAAACAAGATCTGCCGTAATCAGGGAGGTGTCCACACCTTTGAGGGTGAAAAAACCGCGAAAGACAGGCGAAACCGACAGCACAAGGCCTTAAAAGGACCTGACATGGAGTTGGCAGGGTCTCGGAGGTCGAGACCTTCCCTCTTAGCATGGTTGGGCAGTCAAACACGGCGGTCAAGAGAAAACCATAGTGGCCTATAGTGGCCTATACAGTAGTGTATGCTCATATGGATTCATATAGGTGTATTTCGTTATGTTCGAAGAATGCCCAACCGGACATGTGTAAATCGAGTTTGTGCAATCCAATCCAGTAAGTTCCTCCATGTTGCTCCTCCAAGCTTTTGGGTCTATATGCAGCTTTGTGAGCTGCAAGGTGTGCAAAGAAAAACCACTAAGGCCAAAGAGCGACCAGAAAGACTTACCACCCAAACCCGAGGCTGTTGTTTCCATTTGCTGTCAAGGCCCTGATGGCGCGTCCCAGACCAAGCTGGTTGATGCTTGTCAATAGATAGCGAATCGTCCCCTTTCAGTATATTATATATTATATATTATATTGTCGTTGCACTTTCAGTGAGAGACCATGAGAGACCAGTAACTCCATGCCCTCAGCAAGCCTACATGATGATCACCTCAAGGGTTTGCGGCAAACGTTCCGTTCAGCGCTAATCAGCTCGAGCTACAACTTGGCCTCACGCTCAGTGGGCGCTTTATAGGTTGTCCCAAATCTCACCACCTGAGACCGCGTGCGTCGTGGCGACCTCGACCGTTCATATCCGGACCACGTCCACAGACTGACCACGACTCGGCCAAACTTCTGGATTCTTTTGTGGCTTCTCGATAAAAGGAAATCAAAGGAAATCAAAGGAATATCCTGAAGACAGTCTCCGCTTCCACTGATCGATTCCTTGTGTGATTGCAAAGAAAAAAATGTCCTGTTACTCTCACCCATGCTCACCCTGCCAACATGGAAGTCTAACAACTCTCTACCCAGAGACAGCGCCAGGCGCCTTGTGGCGGGTTTCAATGTGCGTCTTGGGCATGTGAGCATTGATGGCTGGCTTGGCGGCCGCCATGGCGGGCGGAAGATCTGCGAGATACCCGGCCTGACGTTTGAGCCTCGTGATAGCGAGCCAAGCTGTGATTAGCAAGCTCGAGAGCTGCAAGCAGTACTGGAAAGTAGGTTGCAATAGCAACCGATGACATAGGTTTATGTTTGGCCCCGAATGATGACCTATATAAGTGTTCTTGGCGCATGGGTATCTCGCATCTCATCATGGCCCAGCATGTTGTTTGAGCAAACTCTGACGATCAGCGCACGATGGGGTCAGCAGCGCAAAAGCAAAGATACAGGTGCCCATGGTGAGATCCTGATACTAACTTTGTGGTTGGAATGCTTCCAATGAAGGACCCCAAGCGATTTAAGCAAACAGGCAGGCTTCCGTACTCTTATTAGCTTGCAAACGCAAGATGCTTGTGCTCAATGCAAGGACTTTCTGCCAAATAAACATACTAACTCGAACACACACGTGAACAAAGACGCCCAACCAATCAGAATTTCGAGGTCTCGCCTGCAAAGAGATACCACGACACCAATGCGAGGCTCTAATCCTCAAGCCAAGGCTGAGCTTCTTGCTATCCCTTTTCAGCTGCTTGGTCTATCCACCACACCACCATGCACCTCTGGACCACCCATGAGCGACCTCCCACCAATAGAATCTATTTCTATGCGACAGGTGTTCTCCGGTGTCAAGTCCTTTGGAGTTCTCACAGAAGTGTAAGTGTCCTTTGGAGTCCAATGATCCCTTCAACATCAGTATCTGAATCCAGGAAATCCAGCTTCCCAAAACTTCAGCCAGGTCACATTGCGGTGTTCAAAGTTGTGCAAGCTGTGATGCCGACAGACACCTCTGTTTCCTTCCAAGCAGCAGAAAAACCAACACGGGTACCACTCCAAGACCAGTAGTGCCAATCCACACAAACTCACCGAACCACACAACTTCTGCCAGTCCTTTGAAATCCACTCAAAGAGCTGCTCTGCAAGTCTCCTGAGCGCTACACACTGCAACGACGTCGGCTGCAGCTACTGAAGCTGTCAACTTGTTAAGCGTGAGACTCGTGAGATCCTAAGATCTAAGATCCAGTAAGAACCCCTGCTACAACTCAGGTAGATCAAACATGTCTAGACTCCAAATTCCAGGGCATTTGATCTTACCCGTGGCAATGGATCGAACACGTACCAGTCAAAACTATAGAAATATGAAAACATATGCATACACTTCTCTCAAACACTAAACACACTAAGCTTCCAAAGACAATGCTGAAGTTGCCAAGCAATGCCAAGCATGAAGCCGGGAAAAGGGTCGTGCTTCTGTCAAACCCCTACTCCCAGCCATGTGATCCAACATGATTCAACCCACTTTGTGAGAAGCTCGTAGATACAGCCGATCTTGATGAGTGTCCATTGGTTCGCAAGGGCATTGAGCTGAATGTTGTAGAAGGGTGAGTCCTTGGCCACTCCTGGCTGTGGAAGCCAGGCTTGGCAAAAAGTTTCACCAACATGTGGTGCACCCAAATCCATTAGCATGATCTAACAAATCCTCTAGGCCCTACATGAATCCGACCAAACCAACGACGATATCCAAAACAAATCCAATATCCATAGGATTTGGTGACTTTTTTCTTCGACCTGACAACTCCAATTCTTCACGAAGGATTGGAACCACTTGCGCTCCTTCTCCCAGTTGCACAGCATGCTGCCATTCGCCTGCTTTACCACATGCATCACTGCAGCTACCTGCGAGCTGGTACAGGGAGAGATTCCAACGCTAGTTACTAGTTCCAAAAGTGGACAAAGTGAGAACACAAGCAAGCTGGGATCCAAAAGGTGATTTGCGGCTTTTCTCAGGAGACGTGACCCATTATGCACTGATGAAGCAAACAATTCACTTTCACTGACTTCTCGGATTGCTTCTTTATACAAACAAATGTAGACCCTTGGCATGAGGGTTGAACCTGAGTCCAAGCATGTCCCAGCCAAGCAAAAACGAAAATCAAAGAAGGCTTCAAAACAACACCAAAATCAGGCAGGTTCGGTTTTTGCAGCAGCTTCACTGCTGACAGTCTCATTTCACAACATTAACATGTCCGTTTCGGAAAACCTGCTTCCGAGCTGCTGAGACCTATGACGTCCACCTCATCCAAGGTGAGAACGGCCTGGAGCTCGGCGGTCGGAACCGCCGCGGCCGTGCGGAAGCTCTGAAACTGAACAAGACTCCAACCCAAAGTGTTTGAGTATTGTTTGACATATCTTTACTTGGTCTTCCAATGAAGAAGGTTCAATCCTGTGGAAAGTCGATTGACAAGGTCGCGGACGCGAGGAGAGGTCTTGAGTCTTGATGGAGAAGACTTTGCTAGATGCCGTCCATCTAACAAATGGGTCAGGAAGCCAGTACAGTAATCACTTTGGCGGGACGTCATAGCATTTAAAGTTTGCAATTGGAAGGCCTTGAAACATCCTGTGCAACATCAATCCCGGTTGCCTGACGCCAAAGGTGCTTGTCAGCCAAAGTGGACAGCAAGCAGTTCCGTGCAATGACATCCAATTCCTGTGCGGTGGATCGAGGTGGATCACTCAGTCCTCATCGCTACCCAGCGGTCTCAGGTCTAGAAACCAGTCGCCATCTAATTATGGTGGACTGAGATTAGATGGCAGAAGGGCCCCCAAGAGGTGGTTTGTATGGACCCCCATCTAAAGCACATCATGGTGTCTGTGCCATCTGCTCAGAAACAACTGTCTATATGTTCGGATGATTGTGAGTGGGTGGCGTGAGGTGATGATGATCGTTGTTCCTCAAACAGCAAGTCAAGCCTCGCCACAAAGAACAAGAACTGGGACATGATCCCAGGCCACAAAGGTGAATCACTAGTTACTCCAATTAAGCACGAGCAGTTGGCGGAACATGGCAACGACTCTCTGATCCGCCTGAAACATCAGCAGGCTTCGCTGCCAGGCTTGAGAAATGAAGAGGTTCATGGTGCTCACATGCACCTCCCAGCACTCTCAGGTGGATCGCTGAGTTTGCCGGGTCGAAGACCCCTGAGGGCACCCTAGAGTTGCATCGGAATCTTCCGTGACCACGGGTCATCGAGCTCAGGTGGGGCTGAAGATGTAAATCACATCCTTTCCAAGCCGCGACCGAACCAGGCATCACGGTTCAGGTGCCAAGGACCCGAACGATCCGAACATGGGACCAAGAGGTGAACTAACTAGACAAGGTCTACTAACAAGACAAGGGGGAATCACCAAGTTTGGGCCCATACTGCATACTGTGTTGCTGAGGTGTTTCAACAGAGTTACCAGTCTAGCTGGGGTTCCTGCCCGCTTGTTTATGTTGTTTTCGAGACAGTCATGGCACATAGGAGCAAAACATTGGGATCCTTGTGCTCCACACAGCTCTACCTGTACTATTCCGAACTATACTACACCCAAGACTTAACACCAAAGAGGGGATACACCACACAGGATACCTCTACACATGGAGAAGCGATTTGAAGGTCACTCATTGACAAATGACAAGAGCGCTTTACCATGCAAACAGCAAAAGCAAGTGACAAGTCAGAAGAAGTAAATGCGTGCTTAAGCTATTCATGATGTTCGTGTATGATCCAACATCGCGAGAAGTCTTTCTTGTGACCCAATCATCTCATGAAAAAAAGGTGCAACACAAATCAAACATCATCAAAAGCAATGCCCTTCGGATTTGGAACTTCACACAAGTGAAAACCACCATT